GTAGCCCACAAAGCTCTTTTCTGCCCATGCCTTGGTTTTTCCGTATGTTAGTGGGAACACAGTGGAACTAAACGGACCTCGAGGCTTTTCAGGGCCAGTTTCAACCTCTTAGATGCTAGAGGGATACAGGCAGGGCTAGCAGAGAACAGAAGCAAGAAATAGTCAAAACTAATATTTTGGGCTGCATAGACTCAGAATGTGTTTTGCTTGGACACTCCGGGCTTCCCACACTTCAGTTGCTTTTATTCCACCATCCCCTTCTTCCCCCTCTTCCTCCTCATCATCAGCAGCAGGGGGCACAGCTCTGGGGGAAACCGGACACTGGCCCATGTGTGGTACCCAGGTTACACCTTGAGTCCTCATGCCTCCCTTCGAGGATAATAGATGGAAACTACCTTATTTTGAGTATGAGTGAAATAGAGGCCCAGTGAGGTCCAAAGACTGCCCAAGAGAACACAGCTAGGGAGTAGAGTGCCAGGTTTCAAAGCCAGGCCTCCCTGGGCAGGGCAGGGCAGGGCAGAGCAGGGAAAGGCAGATCATGGCTGTGCTCTGGACCACTCAGTCCTCCTTTGTCATAGTCCACACCACCAGTTACTTGATAATCTCTTCCTTAAAAATAATTTACTTAAAAAACCCTGGTGTGCTATTCTGAGCAATGTGACATCATGGATTTCTTGGGCTAGTTATGTATTTTATGATGTTCATCAATGTAAAAGTTGTAAAAGTTGAATGATGATGTTCCACCTAAAACCATCTCCTATACCAGCAGCAAGGTTAGGCGCAAATAGAAAAAAGGGATCTGGTCCAAGATTTGACACAGATTCACTGTTTGTGGGATCCCTTGCTAAATCTTGTGGCCAGGCATGTTCTCACTCACTCGAGAGCGAGCCCACCCTCTCTCAGAACCTGCGGGCTTCTTGAAAACCTGTCTTCTCCAGGCACACACTGCGGTGGGGAGACGGTCCCTGGAGTCAGGCCACCTAGCTTTGAATCTCAGCTGTCTCCTCTGAGCTGTGTGGCCTCAGGCAAGTCAGTTAAGCTTCTGGTACCTCCGATTCTTCAGCTGCAAAATGGAGATGATAATAGGCAGAAGCCTCGTGGGGCTGTGAGAATCGAGCCTGTGCGTTTAAAGCACTGGGAACTTTGTCTGGAGGCTGCGAGCACCAAGAGACTTGAATCATTCCTGTTTTACAAAGGAGGACCTAGAGACAGAGGAGATAAACTGTCTCTCATCTCTCCTTGTGTGTCAGTGCAGGGGCAGGATTGAAAGCTGGTCTGTGGTCCGCAAGCTTTTGGGGCTAGAGATTCCCAGGGACTTGTAGGAAATTCAGCTGGTGGCTACCTCCTACTGTCCCCAGATTCTGATTGGTTGGGACCCAGGAATCTGCATCTCAACTACTTCCCAGGTGATTCTGGTGCAGGTGGTGTGAGGACCACTTACTGAGAAGCTGCAAACTGGGTTTGAGAGGTCCCTGCGCCCTTTTGCCTTCCCTGAGACCCACCTGTCCCCTTCTTTCCACTGGGCAGCTATGCAAACAGCATTATTTCTACCCTTGCATGGGCAGAAAGGGGTCTGTGCTGCTGCCTCTGTTGGCGCCTCTTCAGGTCAAGGTGATAAGAAGAGAAGGAACAGCTGGGCGCAGTAGCTCATTCCTATAATCCCAGCATTTTGGGAGGCTGAGGTAGGCGGATCACCTAAGGTCAGGAGTTCAAGACCAATCTGACCAACACGGAGAAACACCATCTCTACTAAAA